ACGGGTTTATAAAGATGGACTTTATAAAAAAGGTCCCTTTGGTACTGGTGAAGGGCCCTTTTTTAGACGAAAATTTAATTTTACAATATTTAGCTCAATACGTCTGAATTTAAAATTATTTGTAGGTAAAATTTTCAAATGTTTGAAAACGTTAAAACCTTCAAAATGTGCAATAAAAAACAAAGAATACGGCCCGAAATTTTTTTGCGTTCTCAGGAAATAGAGCGGGTGTTGGAGTGGGTTGACAATTCTTAGATGAAGCATAACAAAAGAATTACGACAAGGGACCGGGGAAACGAGCCTCCACACTTTTTCCCGCGAAATTTTAAGCAATTCCCCGGAGGCGAGTATAAAATATTAGTAGGAAAATTTATGTATTTTAGGTCCATGGGCAGACCCCAAAGTTTTGCCCCGGGGGTCCGGGGGGAGTACCTGAAAACTTTTTAATTAGTTAAAGATGGCCCCCCTGTTAACCCCCCCAGGGGGGACGGGGAAGGGGTGCCCCCTTCACCGTGCCCCCACCCAACGACACCTGCTCAAGGGAACTTCAACCTCTCAAGAACTTACCCCTGTAAAGAACTTCAACCTGTCAAGAACTTCACACCTGTAAAGAAATTTCCCAACCTGCAAAGAATTTCCACCTCTCAAGAATTCACACCGCTAAAGAACTTCACACCTGCTAAAGAACTTCAACCCTGCTAAAGACTTCAACCCTGCTCAAAAACTTCCCCCTTTGCCAAGACTTCCACCTCCCCTAAAGAATTACACCTGCCAAAAATTTAACACCTGCTAAAGAATTCCCCCCTGCTCAAGAACTTCACCCCTGCAAAGAACTTCACATGCTAAAAATTTCCCTGCTAAAGAACTTCACACCTGCAAAAAATTTCACACCTGCTCAAGAACTCACACCTGCTCAAGAACTTCCACCTGCTCAAAAACTCACCTGATTAGTTATCCCCCCCTCCCTTCCCATCCCTCAGCCTTGCCCCGTGCAAAACAATGTTCAAAACATCCATAAAGGAAAAACAACAAAAACAAAACCCAAACCCACTTAAATTTCCTCTTTCCTCGTCCTGTGTTTTTTTTTTTTTCTAGGGTTTGGAAAATTTAGGGAATACCGACACCAGAGGGGAGGGGTTAGTAAAGCGAGTCTGCAAACGCAACAGAGCAGCTGCACCAGCAACAGCTGCAGCACCCAAAAAAAAAAAGGGGGTTGGAATGTTCACACAGGGAATGGGAAAGGGAAAAGGGGGGAAGGGAGAGAGAGGAGGGAAAAAAAGGGGGGGAACATAAAGGGATGGTAAAAAGGAGGAGGGGAAAGAATAGTAAAAGGAAAAAAAAAAAGAAGAAGGATGGAGAAAAAGCGTTTTAAAGGAAAAAGGAAAAGGAAGGAAATGAATAAAATAAAAGGAGAGGAAGGAAAAAAAGAAATGAACGGGGGAAAATTAGGAATGATGGGGGACAAGGGAGGTTTGAAAAAAACGAGAAAGGTAAAAGGAAAAGGGGAAAAGACAAATTTAAAAGAAATGGGGAGAGAGAGGAGGGAAAGATCTCTGAGATGCAGCCTGCCAACAGGTTTTCAATAAGCAGGTTTCAGTAGCGACCGTGGCTGGGGACACCACCTCTCAGTGTCAAAAGTGTGTGCGTGTGTGTGTGTGTGTGGTCTGTGGGGTGTGTGTGTGTTTTTGTGTTGGTGTTGTGTTGGTGTGGGTTTTTGGTGTGTGTGTGGGGTGTGTGTGTGTGTGTGTACTCCCTGTTGTACTCACCTAGTTTAGGGGCAGGGTCGAGTCCAAGCTCCGGGCCCCCGCCTCTTCATGGTCGTACTAGGCACTCTCCCTGACCAGAGCTTTATCGTACCCCTGCTTTAAACTATGTATGGATCCCGCCTCCATACATCGCTTCCCAAACATTCCACTTCCCGACACTTGTGGCTGAAGAAATACTTTCCCAACATCCCTTTTATTCTTTTGTGTCTTCAGCTTTCCCAAATGTGTCCCCCGTGTTGCTGTGTCCAGTCTCTGGGAAAACCCTTCTTTGTCACCCCTTTTCTTTTTCTCAGTATTTTGCAAGTCGTTATCATGTCCCCCCTATTCTCCCGTCTCCCCTGTCGTTAGGGTTTATTTCCTTAAACCCCTCCCATAGACATATCTTAACTCTGGGACTAGTCTTGTTTTCAAACCTTTGCACTTTCTTGTTTCTTTACATGCTTGGCTAGGGGTGGGTTTCCAAAAATGGTGCCGCATACTCAATAGGGCCCCAACGTACACGGTGTACGGGTCCTGAACGATTCCTTTTTAAAGTGTCGGAATGTTTCTGGGTTTGCCAGGGGCCCATATGCTGCGGCAGTTATTTGGTTTGGCGCTTCAGGAGAGTGCCTGGGTTTATCACCCAAACTTTTTCCTTGAGTATGTTTGTGTCTTGGCCCCCCCTAGATGTACTCGTCTGCGGTCTTCTTTGCCCTTCCCCAACCCTCATGACTTGCACTTGGGGGGGGTTGAACTCCAGGACCCAATTGCGGCCCAGGCTGCACCCCGTCCGATCCCTTTGTATTTCGCTGGTCTTCGATCAAATGAACTCTTCTCATCAACTTCACGCATCTGCAAACGGGGCACCTGGGAGTTTATTTTTCCCGTCATGTCTTCAAATCCCCAGAAAAGCACTGGCCCTAGGATGCCCCCCGTGGGACCCCCCCCGGTCACAGGTGCCCACTCTGACCCTCGCACGTCCTTACTCGCTGTGTCTTCTACAAGTATTCCCTGATCCATTGCAGTCCCTTCCCTTTTTCCCCTTTTGGTCCTCCATTTTTGCATATTCTTTGTGTGGTACTGTGTAAAAACCCCTTCTTGCAGTCAAGAAAATGCAATCCCCCCACCCTCTCCTCTTGTTTACTGCTGTCACCTGTCATGAATAGGGGTTTTGACACAGGATTTCCCGTCTCTAACCATTTTGGCTGCGGGTGATGAGATCTTTCCTTTCTAGATGTTCCACCATTCTTCTCTGACAATCTTTTCCATGATTTTGCATGCTTTACTGTCAGTGATGGTCTGTATTTTAGTGCTTCAGTCTGTCTCCTTTTTTAAAGAGGGGCCCCACTTTTGCGTTTCCATCCCTCGGGCAATCTCCCTTTTTCGTGAGTATTGAATTTTGTTTTTAGGGGTACACATAGCCCTCTGCCCCCTCTTAGGACCCAGGAGAGATGTTATTGGCCCCCATTGCCTTTGAGGTATCTAGTCACCGGGAAGCCTCTTCACTTCCCTGGTGTGTGACGTGTCCACAATGGTGGGTACCCCACCTCTCCGTCTTTCTGGAGCCCCTTCTGTCCCCTCTGTGAACACTTCTTTGAATCTCTTTTTGGGTTTTCCTCACAATTTCACGGTAATTTCTTTTTGCTCCCCTCCCTTCCTTCCTTAGCCGATTCCCTGGCCCTTGACGGTTTTTTTCTTCCCCTGTGTGGTGTTAACACTTGGTCAATTGGCTTTGTGCTTGTGTTTTCATTTTTGACTTTGGGGGCCCCCCTTCTTATCTGTGCATATTCGTTTCTGGCTCTACGACTGCTTCCTTTTTTCCCCTGGGCCCTTCCCTTCTATTTTTTCCCCCCTTTCCCCTGCCATTTGGTTTTTCCCTCCTTGCATTTTTGGGTGAACCATGGGCTCATCCTGGCTTTTCCTTATTCCTTTTACCTTTGGGTCAAACCTCCTCGCCTCCTTGCACTTGTTGCTACATATTCCTATCTCTTTAACGGGTTTCCCCTCCCGTTCTCGCCCCACTGACCTCATTCAGGAAGTTCTCTTTCCTGTGTGTCCCTTTTGTAGTTTGGTTTCATTTTCTCCTTCTGCTTCCCCCTCCCTTGTAGCTTCTGTGTATTCGAAGCTCAAACCCATGATCGCGGGCCCCCAAGGGGTTTTTTCATATGTGACCCTCATATTGCATACTCAAGGTGAATACTAAGTCCATCTTGCTTTTTCCCC